GTGAACGGTGTGGGGTGCGTAGTAGTCGGTGTGAACGGTGTGGGGTGTGTAGTAGTCGGTGTGAACGGTGTGGGGTGTGTAACAGTCAGTGTAAATGGTGTGGGTTGTGTGGAACTTAAGACCTAGTAGCAGGAGTAAGAAATTCAGCCCCTTGAACCTGCTCTGCATTCAACATGATCATGGTTGATCTTATCTCCGCTTTGGCTCCACTTTTCTGCCCGCTCCCCATAGCCCTTCAGCTCATTACTTGTTAAATCCTGTCTGTCTCCTCAACCTCACTCAGTGGGACCCAGAAGAGGGCAGCAGAGTGGTGACGCTGATTGGCTCACGTGGGGACGATTTGTATCATTGCATTTCCAGAAGGTGGTTTGCAGAAGGGCTGTTGTCAAGTGACAGTTTAATTGGGGATAGAAATGTCAGTCAGAGGGGTTGTGTGATGTGGGAGATCCGCAACACTTCCAGTGGCTCGAACGACTACATCTGCAGGAAGCGCACCCAATTGCAGCTCCTCACAGACCGCATGGATAGGTTGGAGCAGCAATTGGATGCACGTAGGAGCATGAGGATGGCAGAAAGCATCATAGACAATAGTTTTAGAGATGTGGTGACCCAAGGTGCAGGCAGATAGATGGGGGATAGCTAGAAGGGATAGGCAGGCAGTGCAGGAATCCCCTGTGGTGGTCCCCCCACCCCTAACAACTATACTGTTCTGGATACTGTTGGTTGGGGGATGGCTCATCAGGGGGTAACAGCAGCAGCCCAGACTGGTGGCACCACGGCTGGCTCTGTTCTTAAGAAGGGAAGCACAAAGAGCACTAGAGCAGTAGTTATAGGGGACTCTGTAGTTAGGGGTACAGATAGGTGCTTCTGTGGATGTAAAAGAGACTCCAGGATAGTGTGTTGCCTCCCTGGTGCCAGGGTCCAGGATGTCTCTGAACGGGCAGAAAGCATTCTGAAGGGAGAGGGTGAACAGCCAGAGGTTGTGGTACATATCAGTACTAACGACATGGGTAGGATGAGCGATGAGGTCCTGCAGCAGCAGTTCAGGGAGTTAGGTAGAAAGTTAAAAAGCAGGACCTCAAAGGTTGTAATCTCAGGATTACTCCCTGTGCCATGTGCCAGTGAGGCTAGAAATAGGAGGATAGTACAGCTCAACACATGACTAAACAGATGGTGTAGGAGGGAGACTTTCAGATATCTGGACCATTGGGATCTCTTACAGGGCAGGTGGGACCTGTACAAGAAGGACGGGTTGCATGTAAACTGGAGGGGCACAAATATTCTGGCTGGGAGGTTTGCTGGTGTCACTCAGGAGGATTTAAACGAGCTTGGCAGGGGAGTGGGAACCAATGCAAAGGTGAATTTACTGAAAGAGAATTAGAGAATAGGGCCAGTAAGACTCAGAGGAAGAGCTGGCAGGGTGTGGTTGCTGATCAAAGCGGATCTGGTGGACTGAAGTGCATCTGTTTCAATGCAAGAAGTGTAACAGGTAAGGCAGATGAATTTAGAGCTTGCATTAGTACTTGGAACTATGATGTTGCTATGAGAGAGACTTGGTTAAGGGATGGACAGGATTGGCAGCTTAATGTTCCAGGATACAGATGTTTCAGGCGGGATAAAGGGGGATATAAAGGTGTTGGGGAGTTGCACTACTTATTAAGGAAAATAACACAGCTGTACTGTGGGAGGACACCTTGGATGGCTCATACAGCGAGGCAATATGGTTTGAGCTCAGGAACAGAAAGGGTGTAATCACAATGTTTGGGGTTTACTATTGGCCTCCCAACAACCAGCGGGAGATAGAAGAACAGATATGCAGGCAGATTTTGGCAAGATGTAAAAGTAATAGAGTTGTTGTCGTGGGAGATTTTAACTTCCCATATATTGACTGGGACTCACTTAGTGCTTGGGGTGTGGATGGGGCAGAGTTTGTAAGGAGCAATCCAGGAGGGCTTCTTGAAACAGTATGTAGATAGTCCAACTAGGAAAGGGGCCATACTGGACCTAGTATTGGGGAATGAGCCTGGCCAGGTGGTCGACATCTCAGTAGGGGTGCAGCTTGGGAACAGTGATCACAATTCATAAGCTTTAAGGCACTGAAGGATAAAGATAAGTGTAGTTGTCAGGTAAAGGTGCTAAATTGGGGGAAGGCTAATTACAATAATATTAGGCAGGAACTGAAGAACGTAGATTGGAGGCAGATGTTTGAGGGCAAAGCAACATATGATATGTGGGAGGCTTTCAAGTGTAAGTTGATAGGAACTCAGGACTGGCATGTTCCTGTGAGGATGAAGGATAAGTATGGCAAGTTTAGGGAACCTTGGATAATGAAAGATATTGTGATCCTAATCAAAAAGAAAAAGGAGGCATATATCAAGGCTAGGAGGCTGGGAACACACGAAGCCAGGGTGGAATACAAGGAAAGTTGAAAGAAACTTAAGCAAGGAGTCAGGAGGGCTAAAAGGGGTATTGAAAAGTCATTGGCCAACAGGATTAAGGAAAACCCCAAGGCTTTTTATACATATATAAAGAGCAAGAGGGTAGCCAGGCAGAGGGTTGGCCTACTCAAGGACAGGGAAGGGAATTTATGTGTGGAGCCAGAGGAAATGGACGAGGTATTAAATGAGTACTTTGCATGAGTATTCACTAGAGAAGGACTCGGTGGATGATGAGTCTGGGGAAGGGTGTGTAGATAGTTTGGGTCATGTTGAGATCAAAAGGGAGGAAGTATTGGGGGTCTTGAAAAACATTAAGGTGAATAAGTCCCCATGGCCTGATGGGATATACCCCAGAATTCTGAGAGAGGCAAGGGAGGAAATTGCTGGGGCCTTGAGGGAACTCTTAGTATCCTCAATGGTTACAGGGGAGGATCCAGAGGATTGGAGAATAGCCAATGTTGTTCCCTTGTTTAAGAAGGGTGGCAGGGATAATCCAACTAATTACAGGCAGGTGAGCCTTACATCAGTGGTAGGGAAATTATTGGAGAGGATTCTTCAAGACAGGACGTACTCCCAGCTGGAAATCAATGGGTGTATTAGCAAGAGGCAACATGGTTTTGTGAAGGGGAGGTCGTGTCTCACTAACTTGGTTGAGTTTTTTGAGGAAGTGACGAAGATGATTGATGAGGGTAGGGCAGTGGATGTTATCTACATGGACTTCAATAAGGCCTTTAACAAGGTCCCTCATGGCAGACTGATACAGAAGATAAAGTCGCACGGGGTCAGAGGTAAGCTTGCAAGATGGATAAAGAACTGGCTTGGTCATAGAAGACAGAGGGTAGCAGTGGAAGGGTGTGTTTCTGAATGGAGTGCTGTGACTAGTGGCGTTCCTCAGGGATCAGTGTTGGGACCTTTGCTGTTTGTAATATATATAAATGATTTGGAGGAGAATGTAACTGGTTTGATTAGTAAGTTTGTGGATGACACAAAGATTGATGGAATTGCAGATAGCAATGAGGACCTTCAGAGGATACAGCAGGATATAGATCGGTTGGTGACTTGGGCAGAGAGATGGCAGATGGAGTTTAATCCGGAAAAATGTGAGGTAATGCATTTTGGAAGGTCTAATCCAGATGGAAAATATACAGTAAATGGCAGAACCCATAAGAGTACTGATAGGCAGAGGGATCTGGGTGTACAGGTAGACAGGTCACTGAAAGTGGCAATGCAGGAAGAAAGTAGTCAACAAGGCATTTGGCATGCTTGGCTTCATCAGCCGGGGCACTGTGATTAAAAATTGGCAGGTAATGTTGCAGCTTTATAGAACCTTAGTCAGGCTGCATTTGGAATATTGTGTTCAGTTCTGGTTGCCACAATACCAGAAGGATGTGGTGACTTTGGAGAGGGTTCAGAAAAGATTTACCAGATGTTGCCTGGTATGGAGGGCATTAGCTATGAGAAGAGGTTGGAGAAACTTAAACTGTTCTCACTGGAACGATGGAGGTTGAGGGACGATCTGATAGGGGTCTACAAGATTATGAAGGGCATGGACAGACTGGACAGTCAGAAGCTTTTTCCCAGTGTTTTAGTTGTGACAGGCAGCATATCAGTGCAGGCTTGGAGGGCCGAAGAACCTGTTCCTGTGCTTTAATTTCCTTTGTTCTTTGTTTCGGCATCCACAGCTCTCTTCGGTAGGGAGCTACACATAACAAAGGTCAGGTACGGGTGGAAATTATACAGTGAATGGCAGAACCCTTAAGGAGTATTGAAATGCAGAGGGATCTGGGTGTGCAGGTCACAGATTGCTGAGGATGGCTACGCAGGTAGATAAGGCAGTAAGAAAAAGACCTATGGCATGCTTGCCTTCATCGGAAGGGGCAATGGGTGTAAGGTTAGACAGGTTATGCTGCAGCTTTATAGAACTTTAGTTAGGCCACATTTAGAATTTTGCATAAATTTCTGGTCACCACACTATCGGAAGGAGGTGGAGGTTTTGGGGATGGTACAGAAGTTTTATCAGGATGCTGCCTGGTACAGGGGGAAGTTTAGCTATGAAGAAAAGTTGGATAGACTGGGTTTGTTTTCACTAGAACACAGGAAGCTGAGGGGCGACCTGATAGAAGTTTATAAGATTGTGAATGGCATGAATAGAGTGGTAAGATGAGGGTGGAGGGGTCAATTACTAGGGGACACCGGTTCAAGGTGCGGGGTGGGGAAGTTTAAGAGATGCGCAAGGCAAGTTTTCCACACAAACGGTGGTGAGTGCCTGGAACATG